GCCCTGCCCTCCGGCCTCGCCTCGCCGTGCCCTCCCAGGCTCTGGCCCCACCCCTGCCCTAACCCCCAGGGCAGAGCCACGGCTCCCCGGGGGGTAGACCCGGGCCCCACGCCCGCCCCTCCCGGCCGCCCGCCCGCTCGCCGCCGGCGCGCTGCGCGCTCACCCTCCCGGCAGCGCCGCCTCCAGATGGTGTCGGTGTGCAGGATGCGGCGGAACTTGGTGCAGACCTGGGCCAGGCTGGGCAGGTCGGTGCCGGGCAGCGAGCCGAAGATCTCCACCAGCAGCTCCGGGGGCAGCTCTAGCAGCGAGCAGCGCGCGGGCGGCGCGGCGGGGCCGAGCCCCGGCCCGGCCGGCGCCGCGCCCGCCCCGACGCGCTCCGCCCCGGGGTCCGTGTCCGCGCCGGGGCCGCCCGCCTCGATGCGCTCCTCCTCGGGGTCCGTGTCCGCCTCGCTGTCGGCGGCCGCCGTCTCCGCGGGGCCCCGGCGCTGCTGCCGCCGCCGACACCCGCGCGCAGGGCCCACGCCGCAGAGCCGAGCGCACACCGCCATGCCCGCCTGCACGGACGGCGGGCGGACGGGCGCGCGCACGCACGCACACGCACGCCGCTCTGCGCACGCGCACAGGCGCCACCCACCAGGAGGCTGCAGCCGCGTCCTCCCGGCACGCGTCGCGTCGCGCGGCCACGCGCCCGGAACGCCCCCGCGGATTGGCTGGGGCGGAACCCCGTCCTCGGGAGCCACGCCCCACTGCGCTGGGCTGACCTTTTCCCCACGGCCCGCGCCCCCGTGCCCCACGCGCGCCCCACAGACTAGCGCGCCGGTCCTGCGACACACTCGGTGGCGTCGCACCCGAACCCCCGGGGAAAAGGAGGTTAGCGTTGGCTGGAGGCAAAAACACTGCGGATGCCCCGTGTGAGGCTCGAACTCACGACCTTCAGATTATGAGACTGACGCGCTACCTACTGCGCTAACGAGGCTCCTGGGCGGCCGCTCCGCCGAGCTGCACTTGGAGTCTCCCGGCCGGCCGCACCTGTGCGCTCCTGAGAGCGGGGCCGTGCGGCCGGGGCCGGGGCGTGGCGGGCGGGCGCGGCGGGGGGCGGGGGGGGAGGACGGTGAGCACCGGCTCCCATCGTCGCGATCCAGGGAGGGCGGCCGCCGGCGCTGCTCCGCGTGCCCCTCCCGTACGCCGTACTCGCTCCCCACCGCAAAGGCCCGCGGCGAGGGAGCCTCAGCCCTGCTCTGGGCCGCGGCGGCCTGCACGGCTGGCCTGAGGACCTTCCAGCAGTGTCCCTGCGGAACGCATCCGGCCCCCGCCGGACCGGGTCTCCCGCCCGGCTGTGTGTGAGTCAAACGCGGCCCAGGGCGCACTCCTGCCAGCCCAGGCTCACGTACACAGACCTTGTCTCAAAATGTGAAAAGAAGGTGGCCTGTGTGTGGCCCACCCCTGCGACTCTAGCTGCTCGGGAAGCCGAGATCTGAGGATCCCGGTTCGGAGCCAGCCGCGGCACGGAAAGTCCAACTCCCTACCGAAAAGGCTGGAAATGGAGTTGCGGTTCAAGTAGTAAGACCGCTAGCCTTGAGAGCAAAAGGCTCAGCGGCAGTGACTCGGCCCTGAGTTCAAGTCCCACGACCAGCACAGACACGCACGAAAGAACTACAGGGAAACGTCAAGCGCGTGGCTGAGACGGGCCGAGACGCTCACTGCGGCCAGGGCCAGATGGGTAGGGTGCCAACCCGGAGCAGAAAAGCCCAGCAACGCCCCAGGCCCGGAGCTCAGCCCCGGGGCGGGGATCAGACGGTTCAACGGCTGGAGGAGGAAGCACCCGAACCCACCGGCTGGTGGATTCCAACCGGCCCTGGTGAGACTCCAACGAGGGAGGAGCAGAGCGGCGCGAACGCGTCACCGGGTGAGGCGCACCTGCCGTGGCCTGGCGGGGCCGGGACGCGCCCTCCGTGCGGTCGCCTGGCGAGGGCGGTGGTCCGGGTCTCAGAAGAACGTTTGCAGGGGGCTGGCTAGGCTCCATCCGTGGAAGCAAGGTTACACGAGCCCGTGTGCACGGCTTAGTGATGGACGTGTGTGTGCAGCTCCGAAGACTAAACGGGTAGGGAGCTCCGGCGGTGAGGGCGCGGGAGGCGCGGGGCGCAGGGGTGCGGGGGGGGGGGGCGGGCCCAGGGAGGAGGGGGGGGCGCAGGGGCGCGGGGGGGGGCGGGCCCCGAGAGGAGCGGGGGGGGGGAGCGGGCCCCGGGAGGAGCGGGGGGGGGCGGGCCCCGGGAGGAGCGGGGGGGGGGAAGCGGGCCCCGGGAGGAGCGGGGGGGGGCGGGCCCCGGGAGGAGCGGGGGGGGGCGGGCCCCGGGAGGAGCGGGGGGGGGCGGGCCCCGGGAGGAGCGGGGGGGGGGGAGCGGGCCCCGAGAGGAGCGGGGGGGGGGGAGCGGGCCCCGGGAGGAGCGGGGGGGGGGCGGGCCCCGGGAGGAGCGGGGGGGGGGGCGGGCCCCGGGAGGAGCGGGGGGGGCGGGCCCCGGGAGGAGCGGGGGGGGGGGAGCGGGCCCCGAGAGGAGCGGGGGGGGGGAGCGGGCCCCGGGAGGAGCGGGGGGGGGGGCGGGCCCCGGGAGGAGCGGGGGGGGGGCGGGCCCCGGGAGGAGCGGGGGGGGGAGCGGGCCCCGGGAGGAGCGGGTGGGGGCGGGCCCCGGGAGGAGCGGGCCCCGGGAGGAGCAGGGGGGGGGGGGCGGGGGCCGGGCCGCGGCGGGGCCGAGGCCGGGGCGGGCCGCGCTTTCCCGGTGCTGGCTTCCGAAGTGTTCTTGGAAGTGAACCGCGGTGCCCCGCCACCACCCAGCCGTGCGGGACGTGGCGCCCGCGGGAGGCGCGGGTCACCGCGGCCAGGAGGGAAATGAAGCAACCCGCGCCGCGCGGACGGCCCGGCCGGGACCCGACCCCGACCCCATCCCGGAGCCCCGGAGCCCCCGCGGCTCTTGAGCAAGCCTTGTTTATTTACTTCTTCTAAAGAGCAGGGGTGACGTCATGACACCGCGGACGCTTGGCCAATAGACGCTCAGAAAACAAAACCGGCGAACTGTCTCTTCCAATCACAAAGGGAGGGGGGCGGGACGAGCGGCGGAGGCTGCGGAGCCCCGCGAGTCTCCGGCGCCGCTCGCCCGCCATCTTGAGAGTGGCGGGCCCGGACTCGAGCCGCGCCTCGGGCCTCAGTTTACACCGAGCAGGGCGTGCGCGCGGCGGGACGCAGCCTGCGGCTGTGGCGTCATCCCTGACCTTCGGGAAAATGGGTGCGTCTGGCCTTCCAGGAGGGGCCAGAGGACAGGGTCCCCGGTTCGGGGCCGGCCTGGCCAGCGATGAACTGGGCAGGGAGCCTCTCACCTGTCATCCTGGCTACTCAGGAGGCTGAGACCTGAGGATCGCGGTTCAAAGCCAGCCCGGGCAGGGAAGTCCGTGAGACTCCCATCTCCAATGAACAGTGGCTCCGGTGGTAAAGCACTGGGCAGGAGTGGAAAAGCGCAGCCCGGGACTGGCGCGCACATCTTTAACCCACCCCAGCCAGCCACGCCCAAGGGGTCGGTCTGCCCACGGCCTGGGCCTTGGGGTGGCTGCGATTTGTTTCTCTTGGGTCCTGTAGGAATCCAGACTGGGCCCCAAGGGGAAACCCCTGCCTGCCAGACCCAGCCTGAGACCGACGGCCACCTCTTTACGGTAAGCACCTCCCAAGTCCCGCCCTGGCTCCTCCGGCTAACCTCAGGCCCAGGTCAGACCCCGACGGAGGCCAAAGCTGGCCGAAGGCGTGATGACGCCCGGGGCTTCCCTGTCTGTGGCCGGACCAGCTTCCTACCGCCTGGGCGTCTCAGGACCGAGGGAGGACCACCGGTGACCCTGCTGGACACCCCAGCCGACGGGGGCCCGGGCCCCTTTGCACTGATTTCCGGGAGATTGGGCTGTGAATAGAAGTTGGTGCTCGGTTCGTCACCTCGGTCTTCTGTCTGTCCGGTGGAGGTGATGCTCATGGGGTTCCTTTAGGGTTTTTCCCAAAATCGTACAGGGATGGGGAGGCGGGGTTCCCTAGGTTTTGGATGGGGTAGAATTAAAGCAGCTTTGCAAATGTGGACATTCGTAACTCAAAATCACAAAAAGCAACCGTGACCATGAACTCTAGTCCCTCCTTTGCCCGTCTCTTCGCCCGGACCACACAGCAGTGACATCTGCCCTGAGAAGCCCCTGTTACAGAGCAGTGCTGTAGAAAGCGCCCCTTCTCTTACAAAGAAGTTTAGGCCGAGACAGCTTTCGCCATCCGTCCATACTTAGGCGCCACGGTAGTACGGTCCAGAAGAGAGAGCCACCTCCAAAAGGGTAGTAAGCACGTGCCAGGTACGCGGTACAAAGCAATAAAGCCAGAAACACCTTCCAGAGCGTGTGGTGTGGGGACCCCACATCACGCAGTAGGGCCGGGGGCGGCACCCCGAACCAAAGGTGCACCCTTGGAACTTGTACGAGGACACCCAGAACTGCAGCCCCCCCCACCTTGAGGGCCAGACCGTTGGTCTCTTCATTGACTGAGGTAACCACTGATTTGCAAGATCGGGCTGATCTTCGGCTGCCCCAGGTCTAAGACCAGCCTGCTGCCCCCGGGGTCGCAGGAGGCAGCCGGGGCGGCGGTCCGGCCCGGGCCAAGCCCCCTGGGGCGCGAGGCTGGGGCTTCCGACGGGAGGCGCGCTGCGCGGGACCGGTCCTCCCCCACCCCGGGCCCTCAGCACGGGTCTCGGGCTGCCCTCCGCCCGTCTGCACCCCACCCCGCCCTGGAGGCCGGCCGCGCGCGCACGCGCGCCGACCGAACCCCGGGCCCCGCGGCCCCTGCAGGAGGAGGCGCGGGCACGGCCCGCGCGGCGCATGCGCGGCGCCCCCCCCCCCCCCCCGCGTCGGCACGCGACTCCCGGGTTCCGCCACGCCCGCCATGGCCGCCGCCGCGGCCCGGCCCCGCCCCGCCCCCGGCGGCGCGACGTTGGTCACCTGACCCCGCTGCGGGCGGAGGAGACACAAGGGGAGACGCCGTCGCCGCCGCCGGACCCGCCGCCTCCCGGACCCGCACCATGCCTTCGGAGAAGACCTTCAAGCAGCGCCGCACCTTCGGTGGGGACGGCGCGGCGGCGGCGGGCGGGCGGGGGCGCGGCGGCGGCGGGCGGGGGCGCCGGGGCCGGGGGCGCGGCGGCGGCGGGCGGGGGCGCCGGGGCCGGGGGCGCGCGGGGCCGGGGGCGCGGGGGCGCCGGGGCCGGGGGCGCGCGGGGCCGGGGGCGCGCGGGGCCGGGGGCGCGCGGGGCCGGGGGCGCGCGGGGCCGGGGGCGCCCGGGGCCGGGGGCGCGGCGGCGGCGGGCGGGGGCGCCGGGGCCGGGGGCGCCGGGGCCGGGGGCGCCGGGGCCGGGGGCGCCGGGGCTGGGGCGCGGGCCGCGCTCGCCTCCGCGGGGAGCCGGTGTCCCGCGGGCCGGGCCCGGGGCCGCGGGGGGCGCCGCGCCGCCCGGCCCCGCGCGGGGCAGGCCGCAGTCTGCGCGGAGCCCCGCCGGCCGCCGGGGGCCTGGGCCGCGGGGCCGGGCCGGGCCAGGCCGCCCGGTGGGGGTCGCCCAACCGCCCCGCCCGGCGGCGGCGTTCTGGGCGGCGCTGGAACGGCCGCCGCGGGCGCGCGGGCCTGGAGGGGGGTGGGGGCGCGGACCCCGGGGTCCCCCGGGCCCTGCGGGCGTCTCGGAGGTCAGAGCCGGGCGGGCCGCCCGGGCCCGCTGCTCCAGCCCGAGGGGTCACGGCGCGGGGCCCGGGGAGGGCCCGGTGGGGAGGCGGGGCCCCGGCGCGGGGCCGGGGGAGGGCCCGGTGGGGAGGCGGGGGCCCCGGCGCGGGGCTGGGGGTCGGGGGGGCGCGCGGCCGACCCCAGCCTCAGAGGGGCACTTGCAGACTACGGTGCACGCGAGCCACGGCGCCACTTCCGGTTTTCTGGGGGTTCATTGGAGATGAGTCTCCCGGACTTCACTGCCCGGGCTGGCTTTGAACCGCGATCCTCAGGCCGCAGCCTCCCGAGTAGCTGGGATGACCGGCCTGAGCACTGGAGGCTGCCTGGCTAAGGCACATTTTTTTAATCCAAATGAAAAGAGTGAGCTGGGCGATGGTGGCTCTCACCCGTAATCTGACTCTTATCTCCAGTAAACTACTCCAAAAAGCTGGAAGTAGCCTGGTGCCTGGGGCTCAGCTGTAATCCCAGCTACTCAGGCTGAGAGCTGAGGATCACGTTTCAAAGCTTCACAGGCAGGAAAGTCTGTGAAACTTTATCACCAATAAACCATCAGAAAACCAGAAGTGGCTCAAGTGGTGGAGCGCCCACCTTGAGCACAGAGAGGCTCAGGGGCAGAGCTCAAGCCCTGAGTTCAAGTTTCAGGACCTGCAAAAAAAGAAACTGATGATGGAAGAGTCAATTGGTAATAGAACATAGCATGTTATGACTCCACTTTGCCATATGAGTGCAAGCCTGTCTTTCCTGTGTCACACTGGAGTCTAGTATAGTTGTTAGGAATACAGAATAACCGGAAAAGCCTGGACATGCAACTGTGGCTCATCTGTGCCAACCTTGAGCACAAAAGCTCAGAGACAGCACCCAGGCCCTGAGTACAGGCACCAGAAAACACACATATATATATACACACACACATATACATATATACACACTATGTATATACACACACACATATGTATATACATGAGTGTGTAAATAAGCAGGCTGGGCACGTGGCTGAAGTGATAGCATGCCAGCCTGTGATGCAAACTTGAGGCCTTTAGTTCAAAAGCCTTTCTGCATACACTTGCACACATGTGTATGTGCAGATGCTCACATGCATGCATGCTTTGTTACAAGCAGTCCATCACTCACAGGTCCTGGCAGGAGGCAGCCACACTGACTGAGCCGTCCGGTGGGGGGTGGGGGTACCGGTCTGCACTGCCCGTTAGAGCACGGGCAGATCCAGGAAGCCTCTTGGTTCTCAAGCAGGATGCCCTTGGCTCTGAGCTCTGCGCCTTGAGTGTTGAGGTTTGAGGTGAGGGTGCTCATGACCTCTCCCCTTGCAGAGCAGCGAGTAGAGGATGTGCGACTCATCCGGGAGCAGCACCCCACCAAGATCCCGGTGAGTGATCCCTGCCCGCCCGGCCTGAGCCAGGGTCCTCAGCACCCATCAGACAGCAGCGCCGTTAGCTGCTTACCTGGGAACTTGCGGCCTTCCGCCAGTCACGTTAGTCATTTGTATCGTTACTATAAAGGTGACGCACAGTGGGGTTACACAAGTCAGGTAAAGAATCATTTCTTTTTGGACAATGTCATCCCTTCAGGTGGGTTTTTTTTTCCTTTTGTAGTGCTAGGCGTTGACTTTGAGGCCCTGAGAACACCAAGCCTGTGAGCCCCCCCAGCCCGCCCTTTTATTATGGGAAGGAGTTGTCCTGTTCCCGCCTCCCCCCCGCCTTGGTATTGGGGTTTAAAACCAGGGATTCCACTTGCTTGCCCAGTGTGTGCTCTACCACTTGAGCCTGCCACCTCGTAGCCTATTTTGGACTTTCCTCCTCGATCTCAGCCTCCCCAGAGCCTGGGGGTGGAACTCACCTGACTCCTGTCGTCTTGGTCCCCAGCCATGTTTGGCATGTCAGGTGGCCAGGCGTGCCTCTCTCTGCGTGAGGTGTGGAGCAGGTGACCTCTGCGGCCGGGCTTGCGTTCCAGATGCAGCTTCAGAGCTCCATGGCCTGGGGCGTGTAGCCAGGCCGTGCCGGATCAGCACCGCAGGCAGAGCGGTGGAGCCCACCGGGTCAAGTTAAAAATGCCACCGAGGGGCTGGGAAGGTGGCTCAGTGGTAGAGCGCTTGCCTTGCCCGGGGTTTGATTCCTCAGCACCACATAAGCAAAAAAAAAAAAGCCGGAAGTGGTACTGTGGTTCAAGTGGTAGAGCGCTAGCCTTGAGCTGAAGAGCTGAGGGACAGCGCCCAGGCCCAGAGTTCAGGCCCCACAACCAGACCCCCCCCCAAAAAAATGCCAGCGAAGCCACCCAAGGGTGGCTGGTGATAAGCAGCCCGCTATGTTGCAGGTCACTGAGAGGCTCCACTCCCACGTCCTGTCGGTGCTCTTGTGTTTTCCTTTCTCACTGGCTTCTCCAGATTAGGAGGAGGAGGAGCCAGGGGGGGCGGGCGTGCGCGCTGCCGCGACGTAGCACACGAGCTCTCTGCCTGCTCTGGTGTTGCACAGTTTGTCCTCGTGCTGGGGTCAGCCGGCTCCGGCCCGAGAGCTTCCAGGACAGGGCTGCGCGCAGGGCGCTCCCTCCTCTTGCTCCCAGCAAACCCACGCCCGCCACCGGCCTACTTGAACAGTAGTAGTCTCTGCCCCTGCCCCGGTGGCACCTCTGCTGGAGCTTCATGCTCTTGTTCTACAAACGTGTCTGCCCTTCCCCACGCTCCTGACACTGGCACAGCCGGGGAGAGGGCCAGGCCTGCCGGATGCCCTAGGGCAAAGGCCTGGCCACCAAGGAGCGGAGCCACGGCCTCTCACACAACCACACTCCAGTTCTGTGACGTTCCTCTCACAAGGGAAAGGACCAGGGAATTCTAGACAGCACCTCCAGATGTTTCTAAGGATGGCCAGGACCTGCTGGCTGCAGCAGGCAACAAGAGCGGCGGGTGCCGAAGCGACCGCTCAGCCCCAGCCTGTGGGTTCTCAGCAGGACAGCTCCCAGGCTGGTCTCCTCCCTCACCCCAACCCTGCCCGGGCAGGCCAGGCCAGGCCAAGTGCACGCCTGCCTCTCTGCGGACCCCGTGCTTCCCGAGGAACGGGAAGCTCTCCCTCACCACCACCGGTGTCACACACCTGTAATGCACACGGAGGGGCAGGGCTGAGAGCTTGACGCTGAGCCCCTGCGTCCATATCATAACTTCATGGTCCCAAACTCGGACAGGGCTGCAGGATGTGGAGCGGCGTGGATGTGCCTGGTGGTGGCTTTGTCGCGTCACTTTGCAGGGGACAGGCCAAGCCCGAGTGTGGTCATTGTCCAGTAAGAGCCAGGCTGGTCATTGTCCAGTAAGAGCCAGGCGCAGGCAGGTGGTGATGAGCTTATCGGTGTGCTTGTCGGCGCCGTGCTTTAACCCCGCTCTGGCTCCTCTAGGTGATAATAGAGCGGTACAAGGGTGAGAAGCAGCTGCCAGTCCTGGACAAAACCAAGTTCCTGGTGCCAGACCACGTCAACATGAGCGAGCTCATCAAGATCATCAGGTACCGAATTCCTCCATTTGCCTTTGGTTCTGACAAAGCCCCTGCCGGCCTAGTGACCCTGTGAGCATCCCGCTGGAGCCCTGGCCCCTTCTAGTTCTTTCTCTTGAAAACCCTTCAAGTTACTCGTGTGCAGCCAAGCTGAGAGAAGGCAGACGCAGGCCTAGCTGGACAGTGGCCCCCCCCCCCCCCAAGAGACACCTGTCACACTGCACGCACGCAGCAGTGATTGTAGCCAGTCCCCCTCACAAAGCAGTAGGTGTCATGGACAAGGTCTTGGGGCAAAGCAGGGGGGGGCGGGGGGGGGGGGAAGAAGGCTGGTCCACATGTACCTTGCTGACTGTCTGTGTGTCTGTCTTCCGACTGCTCCCCACAGAAGGCGGCTTCAGCTCAACGCCAACCAGGCTTTCTTCCTCCTGGTGAACGGACACAGCATGGTGAGTGTGTCCACGCCCATCTCAGAGGTGTACGAGAGCGAGAAGGACCAGGACGGGTTCCTGTACATGGTGTACGCCTCCCAGGAGACCTTTGGAGCCCTGCTGTCAGCGTGAGGCTGCCACAGCCCGCTCAAGGGGGTTTAACCCTTCCCAAGGAAGAAAAGGGATATCCCACATGCGACCGGCCAGTCCTGCACAGACCCTCGAAACTGCCCCACCGGGCTGTGAGGTTCTCCTGTATTTCAGCAGAAAACCTGAGTTCCGTGTGAGCGCTCTGCTTTGGAGAACCGTTATTTAACCTAGGCTTGTTTTGTTTTCAGATCTTAGAAGTTTAAAAATAAAATACTTTGCATCCCAAGTTGCCAATAAACCAGGCCTGAGCTCAAGTTATTTTAATGCTCCTTTTCTCCCCCAGTAGCTTGCAGCTCCAGCAGCAGCAGCCAGGCGGGGTTAGAGCCCACCACCTCTCCGCAGGTGTGTCCCCAGCCGCCTTCCCGAGGCTGGAGGCCCGCGGTCCGGCGGAACTCCCTGCTGCTCTGGCTTTGCAGAGACAGAGACAGGGAGAGCGGGGCTGGCCTGTGGGAATGGGGCTGCAGTGGGCTTCCTCTCTGGCCCAGGAGGGAGCACTTCCCTGCTGGGCTGAAAGCCATGGACCCAGCTTTTTTTTTTTTTTTAATGTTAAGTGTGAGAATGTTACCAAAGTTTCTCACCTTTGTAAGGGCCGCTGAGTCCCAGTCTTCCTTTCAGGTATGTGTCTGGAGGAGCTACCTCCTGCAGCCAAGGGGCCTTGAGCCGCCTGAACGCCCCCCCCCCCCCAGCAGCACGGGACGCCCAGTGTGTGTTACAGTATGTATATTCTCAGCCTGTTCTGTTAGCTTGTGTATGTTGTATCAGATTCTTGTATCTACTGTGTCATCAGTACAATTCCTATAATACTGCTTAAAAACCAGCCATGCCGATGGCCACCCTTAAACACTTCCCCCATTTAATGCTCTAAGTGAATAAAGGCATTACTGAAACTGCATGGAAGCTGCTTCATGGGACCCGCCAGGAGCTTGGGAAGGTCAGTGGAGGGAACACCCAAAGCCCCAGAGGCCCTGGCTCACACCAGGTCTCTCAAGAGGTGGGAACAGACACCTGCTAACCCGGTGCCAGCCAGCCAGCCAGCGGTGCACCAGGGACGTCGGAGAAGACCCACGCGTACATGGAGCTCTGGGGCCGTACAGGGAGTGGCACTGCTGGGTCTAGGACACCCACTTGTGGAGGACGCGGTCCCTAGTTTTACACACACGCACACCAGGCTGTTTGCTTCCCAGAAGGGTGGGTGGGGCTGTTCCCCCACTTCTGTGAGGACACTGGCCTGGGCAGGTGAGGGGCTGCAGACCAAGCCGGGAGCAGCGGTCTTGCTGGCCATGGGACGGAGGCGGCTCCAGCACCTATAAAGTCAAACACTGAGACTTTCTGGAATTTTTTATTTTCAGTACATTAAATTTACTCATAAAAACATTCTAAAAATGTACAATTTTTCCTTTTTAACAAAGTATAATAAAACATAAAAACCCCAAAAACAGAATACTTGACATTTACAATTCAAAATCAAATTAGAATATTAAATATTTACAAAACTATATCTTTTAAAAATATTTATAAAGTTACATGCAATTTTGTAGAATTGACAAAAGAATGGCTCAAAAATGGGAGGATTTTCCTTCATTCCTAAAAACAAATGTCCAGTAGAAGCTGGGAAGGTGTTCGGTCTCGGTACCGAAGCCTCACTTGGTGTGCGCACAGACTGGCCCGGCTCCTCAGGGACTCCCCTGGGCCCTCGCGAGGCCCCGGGTTAGCAAACAGCGACCTGGACCTTTGGCCTCCACCAGCACAGTATGTGGTGTTCTAAAATATTGCAAGTGTTGATGAAAGATGCCCACTTCCACTCGGACCTTGGGACTGCAACAGTAAAGCCTGTGCAGGCCCGAGGCTCTCCCAGCCCCGTGGTCTGTCCTTCAGGAGCGGGGAATGGACAGCCCTGCCCTGCCCAGCTTCCACAGGGCCATCCTCGGGGAGGCTCGGGGGGAGCCTTTAAGACTTCAGCAGGTAATGCCGCCAGTAGCCAGGGTGTAAAACCAGCATGGCACCAGACCAGACACCAGAAAGCAGGAAGAGTGGCCCGGAAGCCTGGGGTCACCAGAGTGCAAGAGGGGCCGTGTTCGCAGACGCGTGGCAGCACGCACAGCCCTCGAAGGTCCTGCCACTGCCACAGCCCCGGCCGCCAGCGTGCAGCGCCGGTCGGGACCCTCTCAGGACTCCGTTACACGCCGACGCCAGCCGTCCCCGGAGGGCAGACCATGCTGGCTTTCTAATACCCAGTCATTATCTGCACGGAGGAAAGTCTTCTATTCATTTTAGGTGCCAGCTCTACTTCCTCAGTGCTCTTCAGCAGTGGGGAGTTTTAGCCTGAAATACTTCCCAATCTTCAATATTACCATGGAATAAAAATGAGAAAATAAGGTAAATTGAAAAAAGAAAGCAAAATAGCTGTTTTATCCCAACACTGTGCCGTCTACTCCCCGCGCCCCGGCAGAGAGCGAGGCCAGCCAGCAACACAGCCGGCTCGAGGAGCCGGCCCGCCCGCAGAGCGCGGTGCGGCAGAGCGATCTCAAAGACGTGATGCTAACCATGGACGGGGTCTCCCGCCGAGGGCCCATGCTCTCCTCTCCCAGCCCGCGGACTCCGACCGCTTCTGGAGAGAAATCCATCAGGCAGAGACCATAAATACTGCTAGCGCGCCTCCCCAAGTCCCAGCAAGGAGCGCAAAGGGGCGGTGTCCAGGGCGCCGCGCCAGGTCCCGTGCAGGTGGACCTTCCTAGTGTTGTCCGATTCTCCACAGCCTCGCGGGCCGGCGCCACGCGGGCGCTTCCACGGACTCAGAAGGACCGGACGCAGGACCCGGACCTCCACTCTGAGTGGCAGACTGCAAATGGAAGTTTCTGTGGGAAATCGTTGCGGTGTTTGCAGTTAACTTTTAACATCAAAACAGTAAAGGGGTAACGACAGACACTTCATCCCTCTTTGCTGACCACTAAGACAAAAAACTTAAATAGGATCGTTTTTCTTCTGCTATGAGACAGTTTCCAACAATTTCACTGTGTTGAAATAGGATTTATTTAAAATATTTCTTTGTTTTAAAAAAACCAAAAAATTTAAAAGTTTGGCTTTCAGCACATATCCAGGCCACTGTAACGGCCTTCAGAAATAGTAAAATCGTAAACATCAATAAACACTTGAAGTCTTCCTCATTAACACAACACCACAAGCTCCAGTCTGGGACTCTTTAAGGCAAAGTAGTGTCAGTCAGGTCCTGTCCGGCGTGCTGTAGTGTTTGGAAGGTAGAGGTCCGCGGCTCATCCTTCAGAACCGCGTGGAGCACTGTGCCAGTAACAGAGAATACAGGGCTGTCAATTCTGCATTGCATAGAAATAAAACGACTAAAAGAATACTATAAAACTCTACTAAAAGCCTTCATAAAAAAATGTAACAACGTTCTGCTTTAGTTAGTGCACCACACGCCTTCTAGGGCTTTCTTTTGACTCACACCAATTTGGCATGCCGCTGATTGTCCGGTTTGAAGAATGGTCTGGAAGCTGCAGTGTTCCTCTCTGTACATATGCCACTGGAGAATTGCCGGCAGACCTCACCCATCCGTGTTTTAACAACGAAGGCTTTAGCATTTTAGGTAACGTTATTGAGGAGAAAATTCCCTTTCGTCTTGAAGACTGAAGTCCCTAAATTCTGAGCCAAAATGCTTCCATGTGGGCGGGTAAAGCAGGGACCCACAGGACTGTATTTCCTGCTGCGCTCAGGCCTGGGCTGCGCTGGCCGAGTGGCTTCTCTGAGTCTTATCTCCTCCTACTGAAGTTTTCTAGGCAATTTTTTAACGGAATTAACTATAAATACACAGCTTAATACAAAAGAAGTTGACAGGAGAAAGTTTCAAATCTTCTGCTTATAAATCACAGGACTGTATTACTGTTGAAATGTCTGTGCTGAGTGTGACTGTCAGCAGTGGGCGCTGGGCGGGGTCCGTGGAGCCCCCGCGAGACACAGCAACTCGCCAGCTTTCCTGACAACCAGTAGCATCCGTCACAGACAGCTCACAAAGCCAGACGCTCCCGTGTTCTCCAGGGGTTGGTGTGTGGTGGACAGAACGGGTTTGGAGCCCCCAGCGGGCAGAGGAGGATGGTCTTTTGGACCCTTAGAAATGACGTTGTTGAGAGTGAACTATTCCTATTTATTATTGTAGGGTTTATTATTTATTTTCAGGAGAAAAAAATTGAAAGCCTGGAACTGCTACAAGTGCTTGAAGAAGGGAAGGGCGTACTAACAGCTCTGCTGTGCGCTCAGTCGAGCGGCCTGCTGGTGGTGACGCCGAGTCGAGTCGAGTCGAGTCGAGCCGAGCCGAGCCGAGTGGCGGGACCTGGCCCCGACCGCACAGACGGCTGCTGCCAGGTACATTCCTCTGTAGTGCAATCCTTAGAATCCCAGAGATTAGTGCCTCATCGCTTTAGGAGAAAAACAAAACAGACAGACAGACATCTTCCCTAGCCCGGGCTGCGGAGGTCCCGGGGCCTGCCTGGGGAGCTCCGACCTCGCATCTCCATTTAGGTGGCGTAGCTGCCCTGGAGTTGAGTGTGAGCCTAGAAGGAGCAGCAAGGCGAAGCTCTTCGGAGAGGCCTCGCGGCCGGCTCCCTGGCCGGGGAGAGGCCCCAGCAAGTCCTGACACAAGCTCCGATCTAGGATTTTGGCAATAAGATTGAGTTTGATGCACTTCTACGCTAGATTTTCTATCCAGTCTAGTAAAATAAAGCACCTTTGGATTAAAAGTATTAAGCTCAACAGCAACTAGACTTCTCAGTTCTGAATTTACTTTTCCTTAGGTCTCCATGGCTTAATAGTGTTCTTTTGCCAGAGAAAAACATCAGTCTGTGGAGTCCAGGCTCTCTGCCGGAGGGGCATATTTCAACCTAAAAGTACCTGGAGAGAGGGAGGGAGAGGTCAAGTTTGCATCGCTGCAGACACACCGCCAACCAGCCCGCCCCAGCCGTCCTCACCACCTGCCCATCACCCACGGGACACCGTGCCCAGGTTTGCAAGACCTGCCCCAGGGGGGCGGGGCAAGAGAGGACGTTACCAGCCTCCTTCAAGCCCCAAAGGCTCCTGCTCTGGGCTTGAGCTCTGTGCCTCTCACTGGGGAGAGGGAGCGAGCCTGGCCAGTATGAGGGCCTCAGGAGCTGGAGCCTGGCTCTAAGGAGGAAGAAGCCACGTGAAGAGCCACGTACTCCCCTCCCCGGCCCTCCCCACGCCCGGCTTCTACCAGGCACAAGAAGGGGCTGAGATCAACCTTCCCCCATCTAGTTTAATTTTTCTAAAAGAATAAAAAGCTGGTGTCAGGGATGCAGCGGGCACCCAGGGGCAGAAGTGAGCAGAGGACACAAGAGGCCACTGCCAGCCAGCCAGGCGGGAGGCAGCCAGGCGGGAGGCTCATGCGGCACAAGGAGCGGCCGACAGCAGAGGGCACCATGGGTCAGGGCGGGAACGGATCCCGTGGGCTGCTCCAGCTCCGGGTTCCACTCGGTCACAAGGCCACCCAGAGCCGGCACAGCGCCTCCTGGCATAGGTGCCAGGGACTTCTGAGCAGTAGCAGCTGGGAGGATCGTTTTGGCTCAAAGAACATTTGAAAAGTTACTTATTGCTGGGCACCCGTGGCTCACAGCTACTCAGAAGGCTGAGATCTGAGGATCACCGTTCAAAGCCAACCCCGGGCAGGAAAGTCCACGAGACTCTTATCTCCAATAAACTACTCAAAACCGGAAGTGGTGCTGTGGCTCAAGTGGTAGAGCGCTAGGTTTGAGCACAAAGAGGCTCAGGGACAGTAAGCAGACCTCAAGTCCTGAGTTCAAACCCCAGGACTGGCCCAAAAAATCCCCCAAACCCCAAGTTCTTTATTTTCATCGACCTAAGTGCCTGCGTGCATCTCCCCCATGGGCGCCCTGCCCGGGCATGCGGGGCGCCAGGCACCGCAGCCTCACCTTGCCGGTTGAAGTCCATGGACGGCTGCTTGCAGTCCTGGGCACGGTGGCCCGTGGCCCCGCAATTGTAACAAGACAGGTTCCCGCTCTTCTTGTGGCTGGAGCCGTTGCTACTGCCCACCAGTCCCTGGCTTTGGTAGAGCCCCGCGGTCCCAGCCATCAAGTTCTGCACGGGCGGCACGGCGAAGGCGGACTGCCCGCCCAGCACGGGCTCCGGGGCCACGCTGCCGCCATAGGGGGCGTGCACCACGGGGAAGCTGGACCCGCCGTACTGCTGGGCGCCCACGTAGCCGTTGCCGCACACGGGGCTGAAGGGCAGGAAGGGGAAGGTGAGCACGGACGGCCCCGAGAACGGGTGCTGGAAGTAGCTGGCGTAGCTGACAGTCAGGCCACCGGAGCCACAGCTGCCGCTGCACCCGCAGGACGTGCACACGATGCAGCCGGGCGGGGGGGGTGCGGGGGGCGCGGGGGGCTGCTGATGGTGGTGGTGGTGGTGGTGGCCCTGGCTGGAGGCAGGAATGTTTCCCGTGGAGCCGCCGCCACCGCCGCCGCCGCCGCCGTAGAACGTGTTCTCCGGGACCGAGGAGAGCGCCGGGCTGGAGCTGGGCGCCGGGCAGCTGGGCAGCGTGGCCAGGCTGGCGAAGGACGTGGAGGGGTGGCTGCTGGGGGAGGCAGTGTTGCTGCTGGCGCAGAAGCTGCCCTGCAGGGGCCCCACGGGCACGCTGCTCACGGCGGAGAAGGCAACTTTGGTGTTGGCTGTGTACAGAGCAGTCCGGGGGTTGATTATTGCGGGCGCCACGCTGATCTGCACGCTGTTGGGGCAGGAGGTCTGCCCCGCGGCGGGCTCGGTGGGGACCGACGGCGACAGCAGCAGCTTGATGGGCGGCCGGGCCACGTGCAGGACGGCACTTGGCGTGCCCGCCGCGGCCGAGCTGGTCTCTGCCGCCAGGGCTGGCTGCGGCACGGTCTTCAGCACCCTGTGCAGCGTGGCGGCAGGCTCCACTTTGGCCCGAGGACCAAAGGAGACCGTGGGAGACACCGGGCTGTTCTCCGCAAGTCCCGAGAGGACCTGCACGGGTGGGTGGGGCGCTGCGGGGGGCAGGGTGTCCAGGGCGGCGCTGCTGAAGCTCTTGTCCACTTTCGCACCACTCCGGGGGCCGGGCCCCTTGCTCCGATCTTCCAAGGACAGAAGCGAGTGCACCGAAGATGAGAGGAGCTTCACGTCGGCGCTGCCTCTGTCTGCCTTGTGCACGGAGCTCAGCATCCGAATGGGCGCCAGGGGTGTGGCTGTGGGCATTAGCTGGGGGGGCAGGGGGTGGTGGCCCGCGGGGCCAGAGCTGGCCTCGTTCTGCACGGGCAGGACCTGGGCCGTGGGTCTGGCGGAGTTGGAGGGGAAGTGACTCAACAGCACCACGGGCTTCTCCTTGTCGGCGCCCTCGGCCTGCAGGTCCGCACCTGGAGGGACAGAGCAGAGCATCGGCACGGGGCTGCCTGGGCCGGGGCGCGGCCCCGCGGGCCCGCGGACTTACGTCTGTCGCTCTCCTCAGCGCTGTCAGAGCTCTCCTCACGCGCCTGCGCGCCCATGGGGCTGGAGGAGGAGCTGGAGTACTCGGAGGAGCTGCCTTCGCGGGGCATTTGGCGAGGCGGGGGCTCCACCTCTACCCGAAGCTCTGCAGACAGAAAACACAGTCAGCTCCGGCGCTGGCACCCCGTGCACTCCACCCCGCTGCCTGGACTCCTTAACCACTCAGAGCAGATGCCGGTTTCTCTCTGAGTTCTGCTGAACAGAATTCTCCCTTCCTGTGAGAGAGGAAAGGCCCTGGGAGCTGGGGGCCCTGAGCCAGAAGAGAAGCCGGAGTGTGTGGGGAAGGGCTGAGGATGAGCAGCCCCCTCCTGACCATGCCCGGCTCACACTCGGCACCAGAGCTCAGGATGGACGTCTTCTGCCTAAGAACTGTGGGCGGATCTCCAGTGTCCAGCATCCGGCTCCTGTCTACTTTCCTTGTCTAGATGATCCCAGTCACAATCAAGAACACTGGACACGGGAGAAAGGGAACCATACAACCCACGGGTGGGTGGCCACAGCTAGCCAGTACAAATGCGAATGTACTCAGACCTGACTCGTGTTCATGCCACCCCTCTGTACATCTCCTCTGTAGTAACGACGAAGGAAATGAAAAAGAAAACACCACGAGGACCAGAGCGTGTGCGTGGGAACGGGGGTGCTGAGAGGCCTGGCTGGGGCTGTGCAGCGGGCAGGCTGCGGGCCGCACCTGCTGTGTGGCTGCTGCGTGCCGGCTGAACGGGCCCCACGTGGCTGGTCGGGGGAACACGTGCCACGCCACTGCTGGACACCAAGGGCGGGGCTGCGGAGCCCAGGCACCGCCTCTCCGACTTCTCCCTGGGAGACAGAAAGCAGACAGGAGCCAGTGCGCTCTCCCCTTCCACCAGAGCCGCCGCCTCCTCCAGGCCTGAACCACCCCACCAGGCAGGAGCACGTATTTTGCCACCTACTGTATACTTACTTTTCCAGCTCCAGTTGAGTCTTGAGTTTTTTCTTCGCTCCCATGGTGAGGGACTCAAATTTATTCAAATCTTCCTCAGTAAGGCTCAGAAACTTATAGAGGAGAAACAAATCACAAAATTATAGAAGCAGTTAGGATGCTGGAAACAACCTGGGTGAATTGGATGCTGCGGCCCTGGAGCTGCCTTTCCTCCGGTCCCGTTCTGGCAGTGAAGGCAACTCCTGGGTAGGCTGCCAGGAATCCAGAGAAGCAAACGCCGTCCAGGAGGGACTGGACTGGCCCTCAGGCCGGATCCAAGCCACCAGTGGTGCCCTGGCTCTCCCGCCGCCAGAGGCCTGTTTTGTTACCAGCCACTAGAAAACTGTGGCCACAGCTAGCAAAATAATCTGTTCACTAACACTGTTCAATCAGACACAAAGGACATTATGTATACACTACAAACTTTTTTTTTAATCGGTCATGGGGCCTGAACTCTGGGCCTGGGCGCTGTCCCTCAGCTCTTCAGCTCAAGCCTAGCGCTCTACCACTTGAGCCACAGCGACACTTCCAGCTTTTTCTGCTTATGTGGTGCTGAGGAATCGAACCCAGGGCCTCATGCATGCAAGGCAAGCGCTCTACCACTGAGCCACCTTCCCAGCCCCCAAAACTTCATTATTCTGTAAAAAGACAAAAAAAAAAAAACCAGCCATTATGCCCCCCTGCCCAGCAGGGGGAGTCCGGAATTCAAATAGCCCATATAAACGTAATTAAATCAGTGACATCAAGACTGAAAACATTTCATAATTTTAACCATAAAACAATCCTCGCCAGGCAAAGTCTTCCTAGTAAAAGGTCAGGCAAGGCTAGAAACATCTGTCTAGTCTTCTTAAATACAGCCCAGAAGGGAGCCTGCCTCCTGGCCCCACCACGGCTGGGCCCAGGGCGCTCTTCGTGTGGAAAGCGTGGACAGTGGTGGGATTCCCAACCTGCCAAGACCTGAGCCACCCAGAAAAGCCGTGTAACTGCCCAGCGGCGGCTCCACGATCAAACCCAAATCCTGCAAACCACAGGCTGTGACTGCCACCTCAGCTCTTCTCCCTCCTCCCTGGGAAGTCCCACAGACCCCCCCTCCCGCCCCCTCCAGGAATGAGATCAGGAGACAGGCTGCCTAGGAAAGCCAAGCCAGCTCTGTGTGGCTCCCTCAGCAGGCAACTCACCTTCTCCATGGTGAGCTGTTTAAAGACGGGGTAATACTTGTGCAAACGCAGCTTCCTCAGCCAGTCTAATATTCCATTTTGCTCCTGGGGCTGTGGGGCCTGCAGACTGGGCGGCATCAGGATGGCGGGTGAGCTGTCCACCTGGGCCCGGTAGGCCAGCGCTGAGCCCGCGCCCCCGGCATGGGAGCAGTGGGGCAAGGCGGCGGCCACGCCGGCCGCGTGCTGCAGGTGGTGCTGAGCACCGCTCTGCGAGGACGGGATGCCGGCCACTCCACACACAGGCCTGCGGGACAGGGGACGGTTTTCAAAGCTGCCAACTGCATCGGGACCTGCCAGCTCCTACGCCTGGCCAGATGCCTGTCTTCAGCTCATCACATTCACACTTGGAAATCACCAGGGCCCCGTCGCTGTCCCGCCCGACACAGAGCCCTCCTCCAAGGACACTTCCCACAGGCACGCACGGTTACCCACGGGCCTACCGCGCACACCTGCGTGTGCCCGGCACAGGGCCACCAGGCATGTGGCGACATGCCTGCTCCGTTGCTTCTATTTATCTGTTTATTCTTATCCTTGGTGCCAGTCCTGGGACTTGAACTCAGGGCCTGAGTATTGTCCCTGAGCCCTTTCTCTCAAGGTTAGCGCTCTACTACTTGAACCACAGCTCCGCGTCCAGCTTTTAGGAGTAGTGTATTGGAGGGGTCTCGCGTGCTTTCCCCAGCAGGCAGGGTCTCGGGCATAAGCCATCAGTGCCCAGGACTTTGTTGATAAATCACACGTGGGAACTGACTACTGGGCACTAAAAGGGAGCCATAAGTGTGGAAGTCCAGGGAACTGATTCCCCTCCTCTCCACAGCACCCAGGGTGCAGACAGACGGACGGCAGGAGCAGCTGTCCACACAGGCAGAGAGCAGAAAGGTTCCTCACCTTCCAGACACACCCATCACGGCTCCTACTTTAGGAAGGGAGGGGTTGCCGGGGCCTGTGAATGAGAAAGCAAACATGGCGACGATTCACAGACAGAAGACGCTTTATTCTTACGTCATCAGTTCACAAACTTACTTGGACTTTGAAGCTGTTGGGTGGGAGATGAGGTGCTGAAAAATTTCTTAACATGGTCATTTTTTAATATGTGAGAAGGTAATGAAGCCAAGAATCTAAAAACAAACAAACGGTGTCACCAGCATTAAAATGACATGGACAAAAACCGGAAGATGAGTCCATCCACACAGCTTCCTCCCAGCCTCCCTCTGAACACCACAGGACCGTGATGTGCAGCAGGTGCCGCGGGCAGCGTGGACGAGCCCCACGCTCCGGAGACGCCGCTGCCGCACAGCCCTCGCCACTCACGGCCCAACCGCTCAGGCACACAGAAGGTGCGCAGGCTCCGCCTCCCTCCCTCCCACCATCCCCCGGTGCCCGCTGGTCTGAGCCCGGAGGACCCGGCCTGGCCAGAGCCTTACCTACCTCAGGCCCGCTTCCAGACCCACATGGTTCCGCTCCACATAGAAGGAGTCTGAGCCAGCCAAGCAAGGAATGAGTTTGTCCACATTCTCTTCGGGGTAAAGCTGAGATAACTGAAGGAGAAGACAAGGATGGCTGCCGGCAGGGCCGGGAGGCCACCTCTACCAGCAGGGCCGGGAGGCCACCTCTACCAGCAGGGCCGGGAGGCCACCTCTACCGGCAGGGCCGGGAGGCCACCTCTACCGGCAGGGCCGGGGGGCCACCTCTACCGGCAGGGCCGGGGGGCCACCTCTACCGGCAGGGCCGGGAGGCCACCTCTACCGGCAGGGCCAGGAGGCCACCTCTACCAGCAGGGCCGGGGGGCCACCTCTACCAGCAGGGCCGGGGGGCCACCTCTACCAGCAGGGCCGGGAGGCCACCTCTGCCGGCAGCAGGGAGTCGCCTTTCCCGCCCCTCGGAGGGGGTGGGGGTGGCCAAGGAACAGCCGGGGCCAAGCAGAAGTTGCGCTGCAAGCAGCTGCTGGGGAATTCACACAGGGCCACCCCCCACCCCCACCTCCCAGGACAGAGCTCCCTTCCACGGAGGCAGAGAGGCCTTAGGTGGCTCGGGGGCTCTGCGGACAGGAGTGAGAATAACTGCTGCTAGCACCCAAAGACCCTCAGTTCCTGGGGGAGAGGCAGGGGCAATACTTGCCTGCCTGTGCCACTAGGCCCTGGAAGAAGCCCAGGAAGTGAGGGAGGTGGAGTCTGCATCTAGAACCCTCCCTTACCCCACTACGAGTCCAGCACGAGCAGCATGTACCCTCGGGAGGCGTCAAGAACTCCCGGCAGCACAGGACAGCCAAGATCTAAGTGAGAAGGCGGCCTTGGAAAGCCTCCAGTTCCCACCTCAACCCGAGGCCAGGCAGCAGCAGCCCACCAAGCAGCAGTGCCTGAAGGGGTAACCATGGCAACGAGGTCCACTGGGACAGACTCAAGGCCCCACACGGGCTGTTCCCGTCTCTAGTCTCCCGACAGGGCTCCTACCCAGATTTGCAGAGCACACACAAAATAAGGTAGGGTATTCATGAGACCCAGACTCGGAAGTAATCCAGGCGGTGGAATGGTTTCAGACCAGGACTTTAAAGCTCACACCTGTCATCCTAGCTACTCAGGAGGCTGAGATCTGAGGATCACGGTTCAAAGCCAGCCTGGGCAGGAATGCACAGAAGACTCTAATCTCCAATGAACCACCAGAAAAACCTGAAGTGGCACTGTGGCTCAAAGTGGTAGAGTGCTTAATCTTGAGCAAAAAGAGCTCAGGGACAGTGCCCAGGATCTGAGTTGAAGCCACAGGACCAAAAAACAATTAATAAATAACAAAACCATCAGGGTATATTCCAAGTGACCCAGCAAAAAAGGTGGGCAACCAAAATACATAATCCAGGGGCGAGTCCACAAGCAGTGCGCTCTGCAGCGGCCATGTGGAATGGGGAGCAGGGAGAGGACCCACAACCACCATGCAGGAGAGGAGGTCAGCAGGGAGCCCCAGGGAAGAAGACTGAAGCTGAAGACAGAGCCAGCAGGTCAGCATCACCTCTGCGGCATGAACACCCAGACCCAAGGCTGCAGCAGGTCAGGGTCTATCAGCTCAGCAAGTTCAGAGAATGGCAAGGAGGAGGCACTACAGGAGACTCAGTGCTCTCAACACAGGGTCTGTATCCCCGGAGCTCCTCAGTGCCTGAAGGCCAAGCAGACAAGCACCCTGGCTGTGTAGCGGGAGTCACGCCACCCACCGAATGCTCTCCTGTGGGGCTGTACCTCAGCTGGTTTTAACAGAGTCTTGCTTTGGAAGCGAGACCTTGCAATCTTCTTGCCTCTTGAATGCTGGTATTATAGGCATGCAGCACCATGCCTGCCTGGGCTCGGTTTCAGAATGAAACACAGGATTGCCTAGAGACACCTTCAATGTGCACATACCCCATCACCACAGGAGAGCATAAAGGAGACGCATTACCTTGGCTGCAGCTGGGGCTCTGGCAGCTTGGGCCTATGCCCTTGAAGCAAGCATGACAACCGTGTTCATACACGGTGCATACGCACAGACAACCGTGTTCACACATGGTGCATACGCATAGACAACCGTGTTCACAAAAGGTGCATACGCACAGAGAGGCAAAGAGGTGTTTGTAGTGCTTTGTTCAAATGTTTTTGTCAACCCAGCTTAAAATGAGACAGGGAATCCGCTTTGTAAGTTAACCACAGAGTGTTCAGGTTCGGTCTTAGGACCTGCACCTCGGACTCTGCCCAAGGAAACCTGGGCTGGAGAGTGGCAGCGGCGGCAGAAGGGGCTCTGTGCGGCCGGTGCTCCTCTGAACCTCTCAGCTGAAGAAGACGGGCGCACTGCCTCACATGCTGGCAGGCCGGCGCGGGCGGCCTTCCTCTGCAGCTCGAGCAACCTCTGGGGAACAAGTGTCTTTTAACTGTGACAAGTGTTTAATCACCTTACCTTTGAGATAAACTCAGTCACTTCTAAGGAAGATTTGGTTACTGACGTTACTGAAGAATCAGACCACAAGACCTTAAAAACAAATGAACAAGCCTTAAAATCAGGATCCTCTGCTCCCGCACACACATCCAGGGCACTGCCCGCAAGCATTTGTTTACACTGTGATGGCGAACGTGAGCTTCCACCCTGCATGCCACGGGGAGAGGAGGGGCTCAGTCCTTCCCAGCTCCTCCTGACTGATGTAACTGGCCAAAGTATTCCCGGGTGGTCCAAGCATGCTCCTCAAGTTCTGGAAAAATCGCCTGCACTGACTCTCTGCAGTGCCAGGCACCAGCCCTTCACAGAGGCAAGGGTCCACGCTGCCTCCCGCAGTGGCAAACGCATCCAGACCCAGCGCTTAGGTCGTAGGTGGGTGGGAGGGAGGCACCTAGTCTGGCAGGGAAAGAGGAGCTGGCAGGGCAGAGGGCGGGGCAGGCAGAGGGCGGGGCCGGCGGGGCGGCTGGCAGCTCTGGTGCTCGGTGGGCGGAGGCTTTCTGAGAGCACTGGACCCCTGACCCCTTCCGGCCTGCACATCTCTGCCTGCCGTGCTGTGGCCACAGCCTGGGTGTGGGCCACTTCTGCACCCTGGAAGGGCTTTCTTTGCACGCAGTAATGAGGACAGGGAGGTGGCCAACTGGGAGAAACACGAAATTACAAACTCTGCCTAAATTCCAGAAGCCATTGGTGACTTTCAGGTCAGGAAATAAAATGACCAAATAGGTTTCATTTTCCAAAGTGGAGACAGAACTTCCCAGTCGGATGGGGCTGGGAAGGTGGTTCAGTGGTAGCGCGCTTGCCTTGCATGCCTGAGGCCCTGGGTTCGATTCCCCAGCACCACATAAGCAAAAAGAAAAAAAGCCGGAAGTGGCGCTGTGGCTCAAGTGGTAGAGCCCTAGCCTTGAGCTGAAGAGCTGAGGGACAGCACCCAGGCCCAGAGTTCAGGCCCCACAACCAGACCCCCCCCCCAAAAAAAAGAACTCCCCAGTGGGAGCAGACCCCTGCCTGAGCCCAGCCGCACGGGACGCATGCAGGCCCGGAGCAGGAGCACAGTGGCAGGGAGGACCGCGGGACCGCCATGCTCCTGCTGAGAGCCATCAGGCCCCGGCACAACGCGACTCCAGCGGCTGAGGGCCCCCGCGGTACTGAGGAGAGGGAGGCCTGCAACCAGGCATCCTGCAGGGCGGCACACCAGAGTCCCCTCTTTGCAGCTGAAGTCCGCTGCCCCTCAGGGGACAGGCCATCAAAGAGGGTGGCCCCACAAGGAGAGGCTTACCATGTGGGGCTCCACCTGCCCTGGCTACCTGTATTGGGTGGTCAATACAAACTGGCACTGACTGCCAGCACCATGACTTTCACAGGCACACCAACAGGTGGCAGAGCAAATCACAGCGCTATGGGATCCTACCGTTCCCGCAGAGCAGCTGAGGCCTGAGGGGCCAGCTCACACCTCCACCCCACACGGAAAGCAAAATGCACACCGACACACGCTCGGCGCGCTCACACAAAGTCTGGGTCCCCTGGGCCGCTTCCACGAGGCTCTCACTCCCTCGGGACACTGGAGTGCCTGGCATCACCAACAGCCAGCTGGTGGGGGGCAGGGAGCCGAGGACCCCAGCCACCGCACAGGGCAAGGGAAGCGGACACCACCTAAAGGAACAGGGCAGCCAGGAGGAGGCCCAACCTGCCTGGTCCAGAGTACCGACAAAGGCAGGGCTGTAGCTCAATGGCAAAATTCACCTAGTAAGTACAGAAAACCAGAAGTGTGCCTGTGGATCAGAGCCTTGAGCAAAAGAGCTTAGGGACAGCAGGTCCTGCGTTCAAATCCCAAGACAGACAAAATAAATGAAATAAATCCACAGTAGACGAAAATGTTCAGGAAGAATGATTTTTAAAGAGCAGCTGTTGTGTGGTTCCTTCTGTGTGATACAACTTTAGTCACTACAGGTTTTCATAAACTGGAGCCCTTGTGTTTCACCTCGTCCATCTCACTGTAGTAAAATGTCTTCTGGAAAGTTCTCACAAAAGCCAGGCACGGATGGCTCACACCTGTAATCCTAGCTATCAGGAAGCTGAGAGCTGAGGGTCATGGTTCAAAGCCAGCCCGGGCAGGAAAGTCTGTGAGGTCTTACCTTGAATTTAACCACCAGAAAACAGGAAGTGAAGCTGTGGCTCAAAGCTGAAGAGTGCTAGCCTTAAGCAGAAAAGCTCAGGGATAGCGCCCAAGCCCTGAGTTCGAGCCCCACAACTGATTAAAAAAAAAAAAGTAAAGTTTTACCAGGAGCAAGGCATCGATGGCTCACACCTGTAGTCCTAGTTACTCGGGAGGCTGAGATCTAAGGGTAGAGTTTCAAAGCCAGCCCAATTGGGAAAGTCTGCATTGGGGGGGGGGGGAGGGGGGGAAGCGCGCAGCTTTTTCTGTTTATGTGATACTGAGGAATCGAACCCAGGGCTACATGCACACTAGGCGAGCACTCTACCATTAAGCCACATTCATGAAATTCTTACCTCCAATTAGCTAACCCTAAAGCTGGAAATGGTGCTATGGCTCAAGTGATAAGAGTGCTAGCCTTGAGCAAAAAAAGTTCAGGGACAGTGCTCAGGCCTTGAGTTCAAGCCCCAGGACTGGCACAAAAAAAAAATTTTTTTTACCAGGAAAAGCTGGTAAAATGTAGACATCTCCATGCACATAGTTGCAGACTACTTTTACTAAAAAATGTTCTATCATGTATTTTCCTGCACATGTACGGGCTCCTCAGGGACTAGGAACAATCCCGATTCCCATGACACAAAACTAAGCTACACTGCTTTGCCAGGTACCGTGGCTCACACCTGCAATCTCAGTTTCTCAGGAGGCTGAGGTCTGGGGACTGCAGTTTGAAGCCAGACTCGGCAGAAAAGTACATGAGATTCTTCATCTCTAATTAAACATCCCTCCCCCACCAAAAACAAAGCCAGAAGCAAAGCTGTGGCTCAAGCAGTAGAGTGCTGGGCGTGAGCACAACAGCAAGCCCAGGCTTGAGGTACTTGAGCTCCAGCTCCAGGCAGTGCGCCTGTGTTTGTGCTCACGTCGGAATACTCCTTACCACACCTAGCTTATTTACTGAGATACCTCTATCTTCCCATCTGATTCCCACTGAACAGGTATTATAAGTATCTACTCCAGCATAGACACCCCAAATTTCCTGGGGGCTCCTTTGCGGTCGGGTTTGCATTCTGAGCCTCCCCCCCACCACACACACGCGCGCGCACGTGCGGCTGGTCTTCTAGAATGAGGCCAACAGAGCCCTAGCTACCCTTGACGGAATTCCTGACTCCGCTGCCCTGAGCACTCTAGATGCAGGGAGAAGCCAGTCCGCACAGCTCACGCCCTGCAGTGGCAGATCGCTAAGGCGTCCACACAGTACATCTCATGCCTCGTGGCTCTTCGTGGCATTGAATGTGGTGATCCATAACCAGCAGCTGAAACGCGCGTTGGTGTGAAGCGAGTTCTCCGCACAGGACACTTGTGCCAGCCCTGGCTTCCGAGAAAGCTTGCTCGCCATGTGGCTTTTCCCTGAACCCTTTCCAGAGCTCCTCGGCCTGTTCTGGCCACGCCCACACCCAGGAGGTGTCGGTCACGACCTGACCACACGGCACCCCACCAGACGCCCGCTCGGTAGACCCTAGCAGCCCAACACTCAACACGGGCAGGGCTTCACCAAGGCACGCTCCGGTCAGGTGATTACGTGTGCATCTGCAGAACAGGTCCCTGCCTGCCCAAGAGGGGGAAAAGCAGCTTCGTGTCTTACCTCAAAGGAGCATTCAACACTCCTGTCATTTTTTGTGTGCGACCATCCCTTCAGGTCTATCTTCTCAACACTCACTGCAAAAGCAAACAAACAAAAACAAGACAAGATTATGGGAGCAAGGAGACCTCAAGGCACAGACGTGATGCTCTGACAGGCATGCTCCGGGCGGTGTCTCCAGCCTGGCCGTCCAGCAGCCCCCACCGAGAGCCCGCAGCCAGGGCAGTACCCCAGCACACCCACAAAGCAGCTCCGACCCTGGCCACCCACAGAGAGCTCTAGCACCTGCCCTCCCTGATGATTGCGCGGGACAGCGTGCCTGGCGTGGCCCACAGCGGGCCTCGTGGGCCAGGGTCCACGAAGGCTGCCAACAGCTGCCCTAGGAAGCCTGTGAGCGGAGCACACGGACACAGCTCCAGCAGGTGCCCTGGATACCTCAGCCTCTTACACCAGGGGCTCCAAACTGGTTGGGGTTTTGGTGCTGGTTCTGGGACTTGAACTCTGGGCCCAGGTACTGTCCCTTAGCTTTGTCACTTGAAGCTAGTGCTCTACCACTCGAGCCCCAGCTCCACTTCTTGCTTTTTTTTTGATATTAAGGAGGTAGAAGTCTCACTGACTTTGCTGCCCAGGTTGGCTTTGAAATGAGACCCTCAGATCTCAGCCTCTTGAGGAGCTAGGATTACAGGTGTGAGCCACCGGCGCCCGGCTCAAGCACTACTTCTAAATCAGCCCCAATGTGAGCCTGTGACACAGCCCTGGTGCCAGTGCCCCCATCCCCCTCAGCACATGTACTAGTGACCCAGGCAGGGACAGTGGCCTCTCACTCCTCACATGACCCACGGCGGCAGAGGAGGAAGGCCATGCGGGCATCACCCACAGGACCGGCCGTGCCCTGCGGGGACGCACGGCCCTGTGCAGCACCAGAGCTGCACACCACACGCCCGACCTCTCACCTGCTGTCCCCCAGTGCCTTCCAGACCGCCTCCACGGAGCCCCGGCTCCACGAGTACTCAGGAATTCCCCGTGAGTTACATGACCACAAGACTTATGGAAAAATAATCTTAGAACCCCAGTTAAGGCACTGACAAACCCTGTATCAATAGGATTCAAATTTTTAAACAACAGTTTCCTGACTTTTTTGGTCACAGTCCCTTTATCCCTCTATCATGACTGAATGCCTTAGACGGTAACAACCAGTTCTGTGCATTTTGTGTATTTTATTTTTGGCCAGTACTCGAACTTGAACTCCATGCTTCACATTCTTTTTTTGTAGGTGGTGGGGCCTGAACTCTGGGCCTGGGCGCTGTCCCTCAGCTCTTCAGCTCAAGGCGAGCGCTCTACCACTTGAGCCACAGCGCCACTTCTGGTTTTCTAATGGTTTATTGAAGATCAGAGTCTCACGGTCTCTCCTGCCGGGCTGGCTTTGAACCGCGATCCTCAGATCTCAGCCTCCTGAGTAGCCAGGGTGACAGGCGTGAGCCCCCGGCACCCCGCTTGCTTCACATTCTCACTCAGCGTTTTTGCTCAAGGTTAGTGCTCTGCCCCTTAAGCCACACTCCAGCCCAGCTTTTTTCTGGTTAATAGAGAATGGAGTCATAGACTTTTTCCTTCCTGCACAGGCTGGCTTCAAATCATGATCCTCCTATCTCAGCCTCCTGAGTAGCTGGGATTTCAGGCTTGAGCCACACGCGCCTGGCTCCTAGTATCTTTGGGGACTTTCCTTTCTATGAATGCCTAAGAACAAGGAATTTGAAAACTTAAATCCCAATGTGGCTTTCAACAGCATCCTCATCAATCAAAGCAGTTTTTTTTAGCCATATTTTTGCTTTCTGAGTATATGACGGTGTCGCTCTGGCTTCTGACATCTGGTGACAGGGGCAGGTTAACACCCACGCCGGGGAAGAGGACAGGGGGTGCAGGGAGACTCCACACTGAATATCCATTTGACACACCTCTGTGAAGTCGCCTCCACCAGCCCCTCCTGAATGCCCCGTTGCTGTGGAGAGGGCAGCCACCAAACCCCCAATGCAGGGGCAAGGGTGCTGTCTGGCTGCGCACGGGACCGTGCCCCAAGACTGGCTCAGGGGCCAGCGCTCTGCCTCATGTCTGCTCATCAGGAATCTGCACTCTCATTTTAACCCTGGTGTTAGTTTTTTCAGACAGGTTCTCACAGGTGTCGTGCGGCTCTAGCTGGCGGGGAGCACGTGCCCCTCCTGCCTCTGCACCTGCGGGGATCAGCACCAGGCGCTGAGCTCCTCTGCCTCCGACAGCTCCAGTCCCTCTGGAGAGGCCTGGGGGGAGAGGGGGCAAGGCCATCGTGTCTGCCTGTCACCTTTTCCTCGTTTACCTTCCTTTCCTCCTCCCTCCATTCCATTTTTCTCTCTCCCTCTTTTTCTTTTCTTTTTTAAAGACGGTCTCCCTGTGTTGCACAGGCTGGCCTGACTCCTAGACTCACACCATCCTCACGTCTCAGCTTCCCACGAAGCCGGGCTGCGGCGCGCAGCTCCTGGCTGCCCCCACCTCCCTGAGCAGCCCCACTCACGCCCCACGGCGGACTGAGGTCGCCCCCATAAAGCAGAAACACAAGCAAAATGCCTAAACTAACAGCATGGGACGAATCTCAGCAAATGTTCAAAGCACGACATCTGGACACATGGACGGTGCTGCAAATGGCTCGGGTGGTCTGCGCAGTGGCTGGGCCCACCCTCCCCTGACAGCGGGCACTGTCCACGCACCCACTCCACCCCCGCGGCCACACAGACCTCAGGGCAGCCAGCGCAATCCGCTGCTGGCCAAGGACCTGGCTTCCGAGCGGTGGTGAGGCGTGCTGCCGGGATCGTCTCAAAACGTCTCCAGCTGCCGTAAGTCTAGAAGGCACAGCCACGTGCAAGTCTTTTGCTGTGGGTTGTGGGGCACGCCTGCAGCCCTGGTGCGCAGGAGCTGAAGCAGGAGCATCAGCAGCCGGACAGAGACAGACTCCCTTCCTTCTGTCCCGACTTGCCTCACCTCCTATTCACAGTGTTTCACTTGATCGGTTTTACCCAACTCAAGTCTGAAAATCACCCACCCAAAGCCTTGCCAACACAGTCACCCATGTTACTCGTGTGTGCCGCCACGCTACTCCGTGTGGCCTCCAACTCATCCTCCTGTCTGGGCCTCCAGAGCGGCCGCTGGCGTGGCTGCCGCGCATGCCTCCCTAATGTTCCACGGAAGCAACACACCACAGCCCCGATGACGGGAGCTGTGGAAGAGGGTGTAAGCGTGCCCTGCAAGCAGGGCAGACATTGTGGAAGCCCCTGTCCTAGAAGGCAGAAAGCTGGTGGGACCAGGGGCAGCACCTGCCGCTTCTCAATGTTTGCCACTGCACAAGTGCTAGGCCTCCCATTTCCACAGTGAAGTAGGGCGGGGGGGGGGGGGGGTGTCCAGAAATGAAGGGGAGCAGCCCTCTTCTCCCTGACGGCCACGGAGCACGCATGGGAGAGGGTGGGGTCCGGCTGTGGCGTGGAGAATCACCCAGTGGGAGGAGGTGGGGACAGTTCACGCACAGGAAGACTCACGCTGAACAGAAAGAGCCTGCAATGACCTGCAGGCAGGTGTACCCCAGAGAAATGAGTACGAGTGCCAAAGTGTGTGGGCGCCCCTGAGCAGGCCCGCAGCAGTCCCACTCCAGAGCAGAGCCGCCAGCACCAAGGCAGGGGCAGGAGGGCCAGGGAAAGCGGAAAACAAGGGCAAAATGGACGCTGACCCATTATTCACAGGGGCCTGCGTGGCCTGTTGAAATGCCACCGCTCACAATGGGCCAGCTTGAATCATGACTGAACATTTTTTCAAGAGTTCTATCTACCTACTAACGCTGCTCGAAACAATCCATTTTAAACATGCTAGAGCCCGAGTATTCAAAACACTGAGCCTAGCTGTTATGTACACCTGGCTTGTTTTAGCTCTCAGATCACACCAGCAGCTTGAGCATTAAGGTTCTTTTCACATCTTCGGGGTGGTACGGAACTCAGGGCTTCGTGCTCGCTGCTCTGGCACAGCGCCTCACTTGGTCCTTGGCTGCTGCAGAAGCCTGGACTGCGGGCGGCATGAGGGCCTCAGACACCACGTCCACCCTCGCTCTGGAGATGGAGCTCACGCACTTGTTTTCCCAGTAGCCTCGGACGGCAGTCCTTTTGAATTCAGCCTCCCAAGTGGACAGGTTGCAGATGTGTGTCACAGGCGCCAGGCCTTGTTTGTGGAACTCAGTACTCCTGAGCCTTGGATTACAGGCAGACACCAGCCGTTTCTTACAGCGTTCACTGAGAGAAAAGCTCTTTTCTATCCAAGAAGATTGCTTCCAGTCAATCTCGTAAAAACTCTTTTTCGGAGAGGCTCCTTCTTTATCCAGGTCGGTTGGCCCTTGATACATTTTAGTTTCATCCTTTTCCTGTTGCACTTTTTCCTGTTTAACTTCAGCTGGAAGCTCCTGGAATTTTATTTTATTTATTTATTTTTTATTTTCTTTTCTTTTGGGTCCAGTCGTGGGGCCTGAACTCTGGGCCTGGGCACTGTCCCTCAGCTCTTCAGCTCAAGGCTAGCGCTCTACCACTTGAGCCACAGCGCCACTTCCGGTTTTTTTCTTTTTGCTTATGTGGTGCTGAGGAATCGAACCCAGGGCCTCATGCATGCAAGGCAAGCGCTCTACCACTGAGCCACCTTCCCAGCCCCAGCTCCTGGAATTTTAGTTACATCCTGTTGATTACACCACAGCCAAGGAGACCAGGTTAGAGATAAAAAGAGAGCAGCCTGACAGCACCGTGGTTGATGACTCCCCTGCCAACATGAACTGTGCCGTGCCAGGGCTGTTCCAGCACCTCCAACATCCTGGAGCCATTCTAACACACGCACACACACACATACACACACGCACGTACACACGTGCACACACATACATACACACGTACACACACACGTACATACACACGTACACACATGCACGCACATACACAATGCATACATGCACACACATACACATACACACACACATACATACATACACACATGCACACACACACGTGAGGGAAGGGGTGAGTGTCCA